GGGGAAACCTTTTTGTAGGAATGGGACTCGAACTCTCAGGCTGTGGCCGTCTGCATTCCCGCCACAGGCAGGCAACTCTCAGGCTGTGGCCGTCTGCATTCCCGCCACAGGCAGGCTCAGGAATTAGAACAACGGCCACTGCCGACAGCGAGAGTAAGCGTGCTCGCAGAGTTGGGGTTGGGGAGAGGCCCGGCGCGCGCCGAACGGGACTCAAGGGGGCGGGGTGGGGGGGCGAGAGAAGGACGACTCTCGCGAGAGTGGGGTTGTTCTTGGGCTGCAACCGCCGCTGCCACCTCTTAGCAGCGCCGGTGCGGGGGATTGTGGGAGCCTCCGCGTCCCGCTCGCTGGGAGAGAGGTACCTCTCCTTTTCCCTCTCCTTTAAGGTAGGCGTGAAGCGGGTAAGAATCGGGGTGGGGTGGCCGGGGGCCCTCTGCGTCCGCCGGGAGGAGGCAGCGATGGCGACGGGGGCCTCGGGGAGCCGGCGGCGCGCCTTTTCTGCTCGCTCCCGCTCGCCCGCTCTGCCTCCCTCCGCGCTGCGTATGTGAGCCGCCTGATCGGCGGCCGCCATGTTAGGAGCGCAGTGGCGGCGCAACCAGCCTCGGGCTGCGGAGGTGAGCAGCCCCGGAGGAAGACGTACGGCCGGCCAAGGGCCCCAGGGCGCGGCGGGAGAGTCGGGGGGCGCCGCAGGCAGCCGATCGGCCGCACACACCGCGTCCCGAGCTTGCTGTGGGCGGGGGCGGGACGCCGAGCCCGTTACACGCGGGCCGCAGCGGTGAGGTGGAGGGAGGAGCACCCGGGGCCTGAGGGAGCGATTGTCCGTAGGGGGCCTGCTGTGTGGGGCGGAGAGTTAAGATGGCGACGTCTTTGGAGAGCGCCATCACCAGATACGCTTGTTTTTTTTCCCTCTTTGCGCCTGAAAACGTGCCCCAAAATGGAGGATTTCGCAGGCTGAAGAGCTTTGCCGTTTGGGGACCGATCCCTCTCCTAGTGTTTCGCCCATCGCACCAGAGCGCCCCCTAAGACTCCCCGTCCCCCGCCCGCACGCAGGCGCGCGGTTTTAGCCGGACCTCAGACAATCCCTCCCCATCCCCCACCGCGTAAAAATGGCCGGGAAAAAAAAAAAGAAACGTTAACGCCTGTTTTTCGTGTTGCGTCGTGGGTAAAGGCTTCTGCAGGACGCTGCGAGGCAGGAGATGTGTTCTTTTTTAGAGAGTCAATGCACATTCGTTTTCTTTTTATCAAAATGTTCCCAGGCTAGAGGATCGTGTGGTGTGGGACCTTCCGGTTTCCAGACAAAGGGCTTTGAGGACCGTGGTGTAGGCTCCGCATCGTTGTTCTCTCCAGGGCTAGCGCTGTGCCATGTTCTGTGTTCTGCAGGGATTTTTACCAGTTGCCTTGGAAGAATATCTCCTAGATGGTTATCGTGCTCTGTGGTCCTTTTCCGTGGAATAGGCCTGTTGGATCACAGTTTTTCAGCTAGGTATTTCGAGAACGGTTATGGCGATTCCGAAATTTCTAGTCTTTTCAAGCGCGCTGGAATAATGTGAGAGAGTCACTGAGTTCCCAAGTGGTTGTCGTGAGATTTTGTATTGATGCTGCGTTCTGCGTGTTAAACCGGGCCTGGTTTAAGATTTTTAAATAGTAGGACAGTTTTCTCCCAGGTAAATTTCAGCTGTTCTCCATGGACAAAAATTATATTTTAGGCTATTTTCATAAATGTTCAAAATGAAACTTCCATTAAAGAACTCTGTGGCTCAATTATCTACGCAGTCTTTATACATAGTTTGTCAGCGTTAGCATTGCTTTAGAAACTAAAAAGGTGGGGAAGATAACTTGGAAAAAAAGCTGTTTGCCTTTTCCACTTAAATTCATTTTTGCAGACTTGAAATTAAACACAATTGAAGTACTACGTGAAGGTTCTGGTTGGTTATGTAAGATTTGGAAAAAAGGTATTTAGCTAGATGATATTGCACTTAACATCACATGGTTTTAACATTAGTGTATATTTTACCCAGGCGGAAAGTTTCCGTGTTGTTTGTTACCTTTACATATCTGTGCTTAAGTGGATTTGCTTTTAAGTTGCATTTTGAACTAACTCGGAAGGATGTAAAACACTTCTGATCTGAACGATTGTGTATGTTTAAAGGAGTCTTTAAACACTAATTTTACTAGTGTTTTTAGGGAAATGTAAACGTTAAATAATTACAAGTCGGTTAATGATAAGTAAAATTTTAACGACTGAGAAATGCAAGGAAAGTGTCTTAAAATAGTTTTAGAAATAAAATATAATTAAAACCCCAAATGTCAAAGAAGGTTTAAAAAATGGTTAACTAGTGGCAGTGCTGCCAGTGTGTTCTAGAACGCTTGCAGCTTGAATGGATGCTTGATTCAGACTCTTTGTGTTACAGTAAATAGGTTTAAAAATGGAAGAACTATACTTACCAGAATTTATCCTAAGGGAATAATATATCAAAGATACATGTACATATATGTCAGTCTCGATTATTATTAAGAGTTCTGAAAACTAAAAGGTTTGAAAATCTTACAGTATGGCCTTCAAATGGAAATGTATACAGCTATTTAAAACAATGTTTTAAGAGAAGAGTAATGGGGAAATGATAATGGAATACAGTATTGTATAGAAAATTAATAAAACTCTGCTAGTGTCAAATTTGGTATTTTTTCCTCTAAAGGGACGTGTAAATAAAAAGAGATAGACCAAAAACTGTTAGCGCTGGATGTTATTTAGCGTTGTAGATGATTTATATTTATTTCCTTGTGTTTTTCTGAGATTTCCACAAGAAGTTATATTTACTTTTGTGAAGAGGGGGGAAATTAAACTTTTTTTTTCCGTAAGTGCTTGAACTGCTTTAAAGACCACAATCTCGTGTTGTCTTGTTTTTTTTAGGGTCTCATGTATTTTTGAGGGAAATTGAGGTAGAATTGAGCCAACTTCTTGAAATCTGAAGGGCAGAGTATTTAAAGGTGACAAAAGGTAGTGCTTGTTGTTTAAGATATTCTGATTATGTGTAGACAAACAGGAATCTGAAGGCATTTTTAGATAACATTAAATTTGCCGTTTTACGTAAAAATATAAACTAATGCTGACTAAGTTGCAATATGAAATTGT